GCCCATGAGTCAGGTTCTCCCTCCCTACGGAGGAGAGCAAGGTGAGCAAACAGGCAGAAATGACATCTCCTTGCTGAGCCTGCTGTCCTCCAAGGACAAGATGATGGGATGGGTGCTGTCAGTCAGTGTGAGATTCATCCCTCCCTTCCACCCTCCTAGGGAGGAGCTGCAGAGCTCAGAGGGTCTGTCAGGGGATGCCAGCTCTGCTGCAAATGGTGCTTGCACAGGAAGAAAGGCACTGCTCACACTCATGCCCCTCAGCTCTCCTACTCCAGGCCATGCAAGTCCCTGCCCTGCTCCTGCTCACACTCGTGGCCCTGATGCCCCCAGCCCAGGCCTGCCCCTCGGAGATGAACAAGGTCAAGGACCTCCTGGAGGTGAACTGCACAGGGAAGGCTCTCAGCACAGTGCCTGAAGACTTGCCTGCAGACACGGGCATCCTGCTGCTCAGTGCCAATCGCCTGGTGTCCCTCTCCACCTCCGCCTTCCTGCCCCTCAGCCAGCTGCAGGACCTTGACCTATCCGACAATGGGCTGACAACTCTGCACACTGGGGCCCCGCTGCCATCCCTCAAGGAGCTGATCCTCTCCCACAACACGCTGGAGGCCCTGCCCGCCCTGCAGGGCCTGCCCGCGCTGACCCGCCTGGCTGTGGCCCACAACAGCCTGGTGACACTGGCCCCGGGGGCTTTCCGCACTGTGCCACACCTGCAGGACCTCGACCTGAGAGGGAACCAGCTGCGCACGCTGCCCAAGGAGGCCTTCGCAGGGCTGAGGGCACTCGAGGACTTGGACCTCTCAGACAACCTCCTGGAGGAACTCCCCAAGGAGCTGCTGCAGGATCTGAAAAAGTTGGAGACCCTCTGGCTCTCAGGGAACCGTCTGCAAACCCTGCCCACCGATTTCTTCCCTGAGGGGCATCTCTTCATGTATGTCTTCCTCACTGAGAACCCCTGGCACTGCGACTGTGACCTGCGCTACCTGCGGAGCTGGATCCAGCAGAACGATGGCAGCGTCTATCAGCCAGAGAGGGGCCTGGAGGAGACAAAGGTGGAGCTTGCCCCCAGGAAGGTGCTGTGCCACAGCCCTGCTGAGCATCGGCAGAAGCCTGTCATTGACTTCAAACCCAACTGTGGCAACATGGGGGATGCAGATGAGGGTGGAGAGGATGACTATAATTATGGGGAAGAAACAATAGAGAAAACTACCATGACCACCTTCTCCCCACATCCATCCATCCCCAAAGAGCACACTACTGTGTCCTCTCCTGTTACCTGGCCTCTCCTCCCTACCACCAGACCTTCCTTGAGCACCCCTTGTACCTCCACCCTTGCCCCAAGCACTTTGCTTGTGATGCCCACAAGCACCAGAGCCCCCAGTACCACCACTCCTAGACCATCCAATCCTACAATCATATTCACACAGACCCCCAGCACTGCCATTCTCAGTGCTACTCTTACCAGCACCCTGCACAGACCCACCACCCTCGTCTCTGCCACCTCACTGTATACCACCATGAGCAGCACCCCTCCCACCAAGAGTGGCCTGTCCCAAACCACCCTTGCTGACAGTACTACCTATGCCACTCTTGTGGCATCCACTGGCACATTTCTCAACACCTCCACAGCAGTACCTTTGACTGCCATGCTGGAGGCCTCTTCCATTGCTAGATCTTCATCTCCTCATTCGATGTCAGCCACCACCATGCTTTCCTCTTGTGACCCAACACCACCAGTTCCCCTGGACCCCACACGTTTCACCCAGCCTGCCCATTCCTCCCCACCTGCACCTCCTCCCCTGTGCCCGTGCTCCATCCCAGGACAGGCTGCACCCATGCTGCATTTGCAGGCAGGTGGGGGAGGTCCGCAGTGGGGGCAGTGGCTGCTGAGGCACTGCTGCCTGCTGCACTGGGTGCTCTACCTGTTTTCCTTGGCTCTGCTGGTCCTGACCATGCTAGCTTTAGCAGGCTGGCTGGCTTGGATGTGTCTGGTGGGACAACCCTTCTGGCATCAGTCCCTGAAGACCCAAGACGTGCAGTATCCGCTGCTGGGGTGGAGGGAGTCAACAGCAAGCCCTGTGATGCATCTCAGCAGCTTCAAAAATCCCCTCCAGCGCCCCACATTCTGTACCATCAAGGAAGTAGAGTTATACCCTGAGGTCACCTACTGCACAATTAAAGATCTGGGGATACAGCGTAGTCCTCCTGCAAGTTCCTCCTTCTGCACCACAAAGGAGCTGTGGGTCCACCATAGTCCTCCACGCGCTTCGGCCAAGCCTTTCTCCAGGAACCTGACGGTCACAGACCTCAGCTTCCTGAGGACCCTCTCTGCTTATAGCCTGGACAGGGGTGTCAATGCCATGGGAGATGTCAGAGTGAAACATGCTGGCAACACCTTATAAATACTTCTGTATGCTCAGAGGAAGAGATGGAGGGTTGTGGCTCTGCTTCATGCATGCTTGTTTTACATGGGAAAGATCTGCTTGCCCAGAGAAAGCTATCCAGCTTCTTCCTCTAGTATTCTCCACCAGCCTGAGGTTTCTAGAGCTAAAATAATTACTTGGGTATTTGACAGGGGAAGATAACGTCCTAAATTGGTCAGTGATATTTTGGGGCTGCCAATGCCTGGTTTCAGGGTGAGGAAGGGCAAGCAGAGCTTCTGTTGTGCTCTGTGTCCCAACTGCTTCTGTTCAAATGATGCATGCAAAGATGTGCTAAGCTTTCCACTCAGTGCCATGTTCTTAATCACATAATAAATATTGTGTGCTTGAATTTCAAAGCAGTGCTGGTTTTATTTCACTGGACCTGCCACAGTACTGGCAGGGCACAGTTAATGACAAATTTGTCTTCGGTACTTGAAATAGTGAAGATGGAGAGGAAAAGTCCATGGAATCATAGAATCATCGAATATCCTGAGTTGGAAGGGACTCCCAAGGATCAAGTCCAACTCTTGGCCCTGCCCGGGACACCCCAACAATCCCACCCTGTGCCTGAGAGCATTGTCCAAACACTCCTTGAGCACTGGCAGCCTTGTGGCCATGACCACTGTCCTGGGGAGCCTGTTCCAGTGCCCACACGCCCTCTGAGGGAAGCACCTTTTCCTAATATGCATCCCAATCTCCTCTGATGCTGCTCCAGCCATTCCCTAGGGTCCTGTCACTGGGCATAGAGAGCAGAGCTCAGTGCCTGCCCCTTTGCCTCCTCTTATGAGGAAGTTGCAGACACCAATAAGGTCTCCCCTCAGTGTCTTGCAGTGTCCACCTCTTGCTGAACAAGCCAAGTACCCTTAACTGCTACTCATGCCCTTCCCCTCTAGACCCTCCCCCATGTCTGTGGCCTCCTTTGAATGCTCTCTAATAGCTTCAGATTCTTCTTGTATTTTGGCATCCAAAACTACACACTTATACCCAGATTCCTGACTTTTGCCCCAAATGTGTGATTCTTCCCTATAGTACTGAATCACATGGGAAAAGCCTCCTACTGGCAGGTGATAAGGAAGGTGTAGGTGTTGGTGCCTCTACATGACCCACCGTGGGAGTAGGACCCAAATGGGAGAGTAGGATGGGAGGTTTGGGAGGGGACAAAGCATTCAGGGACTGGCATAATGTTGTGACCACCTGTGCAGATATCACATAAACATTTTGGGAGGTGTGAAAAAGAGACAGTGGTCATCATTGATGGGGGTCAAATGGCTGGCCCCAGCACTGGTGCACAAATGCAGCAGCTGGATCCTATGAACCACTTTTGCAGCCTGAACTGCTGTTGCAGTTCAAACTGCCCCAAATGTATCATCCAACTGCTATGGGTCAGCGTGGCCTTCTGCCAGATTAACTACTTGGTCCCTAGGAACATATACCTGTGCTTGGCCAGCTGGGATGAGTGTTCATCTATGTGAGCGTGTCTGCTGGTCAAGCTCTGGCTGTGCAAGTGTGCCCATGGACGCACACACACACTGCGTTTGTAAGAAGGCTCTTGTCTGTCTGTTGGTGGTGTCCTCCAACCACACTGTCCTGTCTATTTCTGTGAGCAGCTCCAGTGCTGTCACGATCTGCAACATGAACAAGGCCCCCAACACTGCCAGCTGGGGAGCAGAACTGTGGAAAAAGACCTGTTTGTCTTCGTGGACAGAAAGGTGAACAAGGTTCAGCAATCCACCCAGCAGCAAAGGGAGACAAATGGAACCTGGGCTGGGTTAACAGGGTTAACAGCAGACCAAGGGAAGTGATTATCCCCTTCTGCTCAGCACTCGTTAGACTACACTTAAAATACTATTTTGGGGAGCCATGAGAACCTCCCCACCTTCCCCTACATGTCTGAGGCCACTCAGTTCCTTCCCCAAAGGTACCACTGGTCCCCAGTGTCTCCCAGAATCTGCATTACCTCTGCCTCTCCTTTGCAAGTCCTCCCTGGGATTCTCTCACTTCTCCATACAGCACTCCAGGTCACTCCAGGAATCCAAGTCATCTCAAAACCACCCAGGAACGCCAGAGCCCCTAGGACCCCTATCTACTCCACTGTCAAGTCCCCCAAACCCTGGCACCTCCAGGACTCTGTTCCCTCAGGATCCTCCATGCCCCCCAAGATGTCTTTCAGTTCTGAGACACAGATCCCCTCCCCCATGCCAGTGAACATAGGCACCCAGAGCCCCAGTGCCCACCACACACTTCCTGATCCCCACCACCCATCCAGGACCCTCAGGTCATCAATCTCCTGCTCTCCTCCTGTTTCTTGCAAGAAGCACCTGGGTGTATGGGTTCCCCACCAGAAACAAGAAGACCCAGACAAGCAGTTCAGGAGCAACTTTTATTCAACTCAGGGCTGGGGGGGAAACTGGAGGGGGGGGGGGGGAGTTGAGTGTTCCTGGAGACACAAGGCTACAGAATGGGGAATCCTTGTGTTCCAATAGGATCGCCACAGTCTAGGTCATGTACCCTGGGGGTGAAGGGTTGATGCTACCTGGGGATCCCAGTATGGGGTGCACTGTTTTTAAGGCCTCCTAAGTATTATTTGGAGTTTGAGGTGATCTCAAGGGGTCCTTAAGGCTGCTGGGGCCACGCAAGGCAGTGGGTACAGTGAGGACACAGGCCTGTAGGTCAGTATAGGCATGGGGCAAGGTGCCTCGGGTGATCCAGCGCTGGGCACCTGGCTGGTAGGCGTGGATCAAGTGCGTGTCCTGGTAGGTCTCATGACTGTAACCTCCCAGTACAAGCAGCTCCCCTCCCAGCACAGCTGCACCCCCAACTACATGGGCACGGGGCAGGGGGCTGAGGACAACCCAGATGTTCTGCTTGGGCTTGTAGACCTCAAAAGTCAGCTGGTCCCTGTAGCCAGTCTGCCCAGCCCTCTGGCACAGGCCCCCAGCCACGTAGAGCTGCCCACCTGCCTCCTCCATGATGTGGCCAGCTCGCTCGCCATTCATGGGGGCCAGGAACGTGGCAGATGCACCCGGGACATAGCGCAGCAGGGATGCCTGGCACTGGCACGCGTCATCACACCCACCCGACACGTAGAGTGCGCCGTCCAGGGCACACGCCGCGTGCCCACACAGAGCCGTCAGCAGGGGCTGGCACCTCCTGGGCAAGGAAAGAGGGAGGGGTGAAGGGCAGGTTAAGCAGCACTGTCCCACAGTGACTGACCACCCAGGGGTTGCCCAGTGAGCCATGTCTCAACTGCTGAGCAGACAATGCTCACCAACACCCAGTGAGCCCAAGTGGGCAACATCAGCTGACACAGAATAGATACCCAAGGGACACCGCTGTTCAACGCTTTGTAGTACCCACACCATTGGTCAACCCACAGTGAACTCCTTCAATGAATAACATTGGCCAACACCCAACAGAGCACCCCATGAACATTCTGCCAGTGAGATGAATCAAATTATTTGTCTCATTGGCAGATGGCCAACAGACCTCCAGTAAACTCTACTGGCCAAAAACTCATTTGCCACCCACTAGGCAACACCAGCCAACATCCAGTCCCAAAGGGACACAGTTGGTCAGCACCCAGTAGACCCCTCCCAAAGGCCACTGGAGGCCCATCCTCCACTGGAGGCTCAGTGACCCAAAGCACTCAGTGGGTACCACAGCCAAGGCAAGAGGGTCCGAGGTAGAGGGAAGCAGGCATCTGCTGGAGCAGCCTCACCTCCAGGTGTCATTGGCCAGGTCATAGCACTCCACAGTGTCTGTGCAGTAGAGCTCTCCTGAGCTGCCCCCCAGGGCATAGATGAAATTCCCAAGTGCCACAGCAGCAAAGTAGCTCCGTCCACATGTCATGCTGGCCAGACGCTCCCAGGAATCATCCATAGGCTGGTACCTGGGTTTGAGAGGTAAAGTGGCAAGAGACTACCTGTTACCTACAACACCAAAAGCTCATGTTGGCACCGCTTAGGGCAACAACCCACCTACAACCTGTCAGTCCCAGAATGCCTTGGGGTCACATGGTAGCCTTGCATGGGAATATCCCCTCCTTCTGGGCAATACCAAACCCATAATGACCTGAGGCATCTCCAGATAGGAGCCTCCCAGCCTTATCCCCAAAAAGCATGTAACACCCAAGAGTAGGAGGACACCTCTCAGTCCTACACCCAACCCATCCCAGAATGCCTTGGGCCCACTTGACCAGCTGCAATGCCTAATATCTTGGGTCCACGGGGCAACTCTAGCTCCACCAACACCTCCTCTGATCCCGCGATGTCCTGGTGCCACATGGCAGCTCCAAGTCCTCTGTAGCTCTCACCTGTAGACACTGGTCAGGGTGTCATGGACCCCGTAGTAGTGCTTTCCGCCCAGGACGTAGAGATTGTTGCCCACCACAGTTACAGCATGGCGGAAGCGTGGGCCATCAGGAAAGTGTCCCAGTGCCCGCCACTCAACCTGCTTCACCAGCCCCACAGCACTGAGGTAGCGGTCTGCAAACCAGAGGTGTCTGCTGGGCTTCCGGGCAGCCAGGTTGCCCGTCACTTTGTCTCCACCACAAACCACCAGCACCTCTTGCAAGGAACGTACCCGGCACGGCAGCTGAGCCATGGGGGCGAAACTTGATACCACGAGCTCGCGGAGGACCTTCGGGTCAGCTACCCCTGCAGTCACAGATGGGACCTTCTTCAGCTCCAGGCCAGACATGAGGGCAAAGCGAACAGATGACAGGACCTCCTTGGCTAGATCCTCCTGGCCATCTCCGTTGGCCATAAGCCACCGGGAGGCTGCTTCCAAGGCTTCCAGTTCATGGAGGACATTGAGACCATCAGAGCGGAGGAGGCGAATGAGAAGGTGTGCAGGAAGATCTAGGAAGGCTGGTGTAGCCACCACACTGGGGAAGGTGGCCAGGATGTAGTTCTCTGCTACGTGGCCCACCTCGTCCAGCCCATAAGCCACAGCAAAGGTCAGTACATCTGGGACAGTTTCTGGAGTCAGGCCATGGGTGAAAACATCCAGGCAGAGAGTGAGGAGCCCCCAGGCCTGGTAGCGCAGGGAGGTCTCAGCTGCCTCCAGGACCATGGGCCATGGCCCTGCTACAGCTCCTGTGTAGGCAAAGGAGAGGAGAAGGCGCAGCTCGGCTGGGGACAGCCCCGTGACCAGGGGGGCAGAAGGGTCATGGGTGGCCTCCCGCATTGGGCAAGTGAAGAGGGCTCGGAAGAAGTCACAGGAGCAGCTCAGGGCCAGGCGCTGAACTATGGGGAAGGAGGAAGAATGGTGGGGGGCAGAGGGGGACCCTCTGCACTGTGCAGCCCCCAAAACTCAAGTGCCAACCAAACTCCCAACTACGCCAAGGGGAGCAGCCCTGCAGGCACCTCTAGAGCCTCATCCCCAGCAGAGTGCCTTGTCCCCCTCCTCAGCCCTTCATAGGGACCTCCACCCCCAGCTCACCTGGAATGACCTCGTCCCCTGCCTGGAGCTGGAGGTCACAGCCCAGACCATTGGCATGCAGCTGCTCCATGGCTCTTAGTGTCTCCCACTGCTCCTCCAGGGGCTCAGGTACTTCCTCCTTGAGGTCAATCTCCAGTCGCAGGGTACAGGCGGCCACCAGCCGGGGGGCCCCCAGGGCCCGGGCAGCCTCCTCCACCTCCTTCTCCTGGCCATGGGGCACCGTTCCCTGATAGGCAAAGGCGAGCATGGCCCGCCAGCCCTGCAGTGTGGCCCCAGGTGGCAGAGGGACATGGGGTGGGGGGTCCTGGTGAAGCTCTCTGGTCCTGCCCTCCAGGAAGTGGAGGAAGAAGGAGCTGATGGAGGCCAGGACCACAGCATGAGCCTTGTCACCCTCTGGTCCCACAGCCACATCCACCAGCTGCCCCATGGTGCGGAGGTTGTCAGCCATAGCCAGGAAGTGTCCAGCATGGGTCCCATCCTTCAGGCTCCACTGGGTGGGGGTTGACCCTTCTGCAACCCACATTTTACCTGTGGAAACACATGGAGCAGGAGGTCAGGGTGCTGTCCCCATAGCTGGAGCCTCTGGCCCATGGCAGGAGTCCTGGCTGGAGACATGGGGTCCTGCTAATGGCACTGCCCCATAGCAAAAGCCACCAGATCCACCACTAAAAGCCTCTACCTCATGGCCAGGGCCACCAGACTCTGCTACTGCCCCATCACTGAATTTGATGCTCCTTGGCAAAACTGCAGCCCCATAGTTGAGACAAACAGTCCATTTCAGTGCTCCACAGCTGAGCCTGATCCCCTCATCTGCTGTTGTATTAAATACGAGGACAACCATAATAATAAAACTGGGCACTCTATGATGATGGCCTAAATTCAGCTTTTATTGCTCCATCCAGAATATTACATCTTGTTCTTCACACAGCTGCACTCACACACTGTCCTGTAGAATCTTACATACTAACACTATTCTTAGCTCTGTTACCTATAATTTACCACTAGCCTTCACATATGATTGGATGTTCACCTCTTATTTATATTTTTTCCTGTGCTGCTAGGCACTGCGGCCTTGCTGCATCCTCCGACAATCTGTTTCATCACTGAACCCTTAGCATGAAGCTACTGCCCCACAGCCCCATAGCCCAAGCCTCTGTGCCCAGTCAGACCTTCAGTCCTACAGCAGAGGCGACCAAGCCCTTCCTCTGCCATTGCCCCAGAGTTGAAACTACTGATGCTCCAAGAACAACAAAGCCGCTGGCCCCTGGCACAGCCCCCATCGAAGGGCCTGTGACACCCGTGTGGTGTCACCCACTGCCTGCCATGTCACACTGCCTGCCGTGTCACACTGCCTGCCCCACATCGCAATGTGTTGTCCTGAGGGTTGTCTGCGACGCTGCCTGTGCTCCTCGCAGCATGGACTGTCGAGGTGCTGCCTCTGGTGGCTCACACTGCGCCGTGCCGGTGCTGCTCTGTGCCCCCCCGTGCTGCCTGCGTGGTGTCGCGTGTCCTCACCCAGCCCAGCACAGCATTCACCGTGTGCAGTGTCCTGCACTGCTGCGTGGCGTGGCATGCTGGGCCGTGCATTCGTTCCCCCCTTACCGCCTGCTGCTGCTCCGGGAAGGTCCTGTGACCCCCCAGGAATGTGCCCAGTTAATTATAGCCCAGGCTGGACACGTGGCCCCAGCCAGGAGCTGGGAGGGGCTCATGCAGAGGGAGGTCCGAGGCCCCAGAGTCCTGGGCTGGGGTGGTGGGGTCACCTGTTCCCTGAGGACAAGCAGCAGGGTCAGGTGAAGCTGCCAGGAGCTTCTGTAAACCCCAGGTTACCCTGGGTAGGTCCTGCTGGAGGTCCCTGGCCAATCAGATCCCCCTATAAATCTTATTCACCTCCAGAGCCCAGGGTAAAGCAGGGCTCTCTCAGAAGTCCTTGGGTAGGAGACAGACACCCCCATGGTGGAGGGGTGAAACCTCTACCACCACCACCCACTGCGCTTCTGAGCTGCAGCCCAGCCCCAGTGACCCACACACAAAGAGCTGAGGGTTCCAGCCCCAAGGGCACATGGGGATACCAGACCTTTGGCCCAGCCAAGTGCCCCCAGGACCACCCTGCCCCCCACTCAGGACCCCCACTGCCCACAGAGAGCACATACCAGAGCAACACAGCCTCCTATGGCTGTGACTGTGTGTCCCCCCTCACTGTCCCTTCCTCTTTGTTCTCTGATGCCCCAATCTCCTTGTCTCCTGTTCTCTCCCCTCACACCCCCACATTCCTGTCCCACACCTGTGTCCCCCATACCCACATTCTCTGTCTCCATAACTCACACACCCTAATGTCCATCTCTGTACCTCAGTATTCCCATGGGTCGAGTTGTGCCCCCAAAGATGGGGAGCCTCTCCAAGTCCATTTTTCAGCATTTACCTAACCCTGCCTGCCAGGCTTTTTTCCTTCTATCTAGTTAGAATTTCCTCATCTACAACTTGTGCTTGTTACTTCCCACACTTTGCTGCACACCTGAGCCTGCCTCTTCTGTAGCCATTAGTCAGCCCTTAACCTTCTTTTCTCCGGGTGGAATGAACCTGTTCTCACCTCTCCTTGTGCATCCTGTGCCTTCATGCTCTCCACCTTCTTGGTGAGTTTGCTGGACACAGTTCAGTTTCTTCATAAAAAATTGAACCAGACATAGCTATAAGCAAAACGGCATCCAAGGTCCCTTTCAGCTTCAGATATTCCTCAATTCCAACCCTGAAGCTGTTGCCTCTACACTTCCTGAAATGCTTTTTGGACAAAGCCCCCAGGCTCACAGACACCTTGTTGTGGGCAACCCCCGACTCCTTTCTCACCCCACCTCCCCCATCCTCAGCCCAGAGCCAGGCACCACTACAGAATCTCTGGCTCCAGACCCTCACAGATGGGCTCAGTGTGGTACAATCCCAATCCCTATCACAAAGTCCCACAGGACCCACTCGAAACTACAAGGATCACCCTGAAGCTACAGCGCAGCCCTCACACCAGTGCACACAATGCCAAGACACAGAAGCAAAGCAGCTCAGCGCAGAAATCGCTGCAGGAGCAGCAGACACGCAGCAGATGCCACTTCCCCTCCAGCAGCTCCAGCTTTCTGCACCTCAGCCCAAACACCAGGAACAGCCACACAACACCACAATGTTGGGACAACTGCTGATTTGACCAAATCTTTATTACACGATGTCCTAAGTAGACTGAGCATTAGGAAGCCACAGGGAGGAAAGGTGACATTTACAGCTTGGGAGGTCCTGTCAGCCTCCAGCCCTCCTTGTTCCCGATCTTCATGAGGGCCGCGGTGATTCCGAACCCCAGACAAGCCGTGGTGCCGGTGAAGTAACTGTGAGCTGGAGAAAGCACATCAAACCAGAAAAGAACCTGTTAGGGCTCAAGTTCTGTGCAACAGATCTCAACACTCTGCCATTTTTCATCGGTCCCTTGACCATTAGCAACACTGCCTGCCCTGAGAAAGTGGAAAAGCAACCTTTTTATAAAATTGAGTTTTCTCATACTTTTAGCTTGCAATTTAAAATATAAATTTTGATAATCCTCTGCTCGTCCTCTTACATGGGCAATCTTAAATGGTTCATTTGAGTGACAAAAGTAACAATCACTGCTTTGATCTCTCATCAGGCTCATCAACTAGGACAAGTAAAGACGAATTCTATTTCACTACAATTATAACTTAAATAAATCCCTCATTTCTTAGGTTCAAGTCTGAACGCCTACAGAAAACAGAGCTGTGTTAGCATCTGCAGGAGCTGCTCAAGCCTGACAAAGAGCCAAAGGAGCAACAGCAGTAGGACACAGCTTGTCCCTCAGACCACGTGAAGAATTCATAAGGCAGATATTAGATTGTACTTTCTGTGTAAAATAAATCACATGTTGCCAAGAAAACACGTATTTCCACAACTACATTTTTCATATCCTGCAATTTTCACGTATAACTGGTAGTTCTAACTGGCAGTATTAGGTCAGCCCTGCTTTCATTCTGTGCATCACTTTATGTTCCCTTCCGTGTCCCCCTCCTGTAGCCCTGTTTATGTACAATGGAGTGCCAACGAAACTGCCATGAATCAGAGGCTGAGATGAATCTTTACCAAACAAGCCTGACATCAACATTATTTAACATTTTTCACCAACACAAAAACTTCTAAAACCAGCAAGGGCTCATTTCACTGCAGGCATTGTCCACAGTTACCTCTGGCTCCCACGACAGCTCCTGCTGCACAGCCACCAATGAAATAGTTCAAAGGATCCTCTGGTTCCTCCCGGACTTGGGCACTGAGGCAGGTACTTAAGCCAAACACAGCTCCCAGTGTAGCTGTAACAAGAAGTAAAAAAAACAAAACAACCCCCTTAATGACTCAAGAATTTACACTGAGCACGATTTTGATAGAGCAGCTACAAGGGACAATGAAGCAAGATCTGCTTCCCATTTCCCAGGGACATCCTATCCCAGCCGCTACAGTGAGACTCCGCATCCCTGTCTCATCCAGCTCCCTGGGGTTCCTCCCCCTGCGCCATGCTGGACCCCCAGAGCCCCCCCCGCCAGCAGATGAGGCACCAGAGGTACCTCATGAGGCACAGCAGGAGGTACCAGAGGGGAGCAGCGGTGTCTCTGCAGCCATCTCCCCACACCTGCCCGGGCTCTGCTCTCAAACTCAGTCCCCAAGTCCCTGTGAACCCGCCCCGTGGAGCACTGTGCAGAGCAACCCCAATGTCTCTGCTCTCCCTGCAGAACATTAGTCCTGGCACTTTCCTTCTCTGCCTGCCTGGGGCTTACAATGACCTCTAGGTGGTAGACAAATGGATTGAGTTTGTAAATTATTCTTTTTTTGTAAATTGGTTTTGAAATTGAATTAAGTATTTTGGATTGCATTAAGAAACTGCAAAGTAGCAGCATTCTGTCTACTGAATTATGCACCTCGTCCCCACACTGATACAGCTGCAAACTTTGGCAAAGACCTGTGTCAAAAAGACCTAGGGGAGTTTCAACCATGCAGATCTGCATCTGGAGCAGTCCCCCGAGCTCCCTGCTCCTCTCTTCACCGTTTGCTTTCTCTTCCAAAGACAATGCAAGACAATTACAAGGTTTCTCCTTGGCTATAGAGCACGATGGGAAAAAAACCCTATTTACTTTCCTTTTGTCACCAAAAGCATTGCAGTACTTTTCAGCAAATGCCGTTTATCAAACACAGTGCCTAAACACACGAAGTAAAAAAATAAGTTTGCTTCCACTATATTATTGCCCATAAACTGGCTGGTTTGCAAATACAGAAAAAACCGTCTTTCCATTTCAGTGTTTCCGGCCAAACCCCGATCCAGGGTCGGCAGAGGAGAAAGCCACGGACACCGTGAGGGCGCGGGCGGACCGGGCCGAGGCGAACACGGCGGCAGAGCGGGGTCCCGGTCCACCCCGCGGTGACACCGCCCGGGCCTGGCCCTTACCCACGGTGGCACCGCCCGGCCCTTACCCACGGTGGCACCGCCCGGGCCAGG